AGTCCAAATTACTTGTGGGTTTGAGTGCTCTCCAGATCAATCTATTCTTCCAGATTAGAAATAAATTAGTTAATTGAGACTAATTATTAAAATTTAATACAAGATGGCAGCCTGACTGCCTATCTACAGTCCTGCTTAATTACTTAACTCCCCTTTAGGCATGTAGAGTTTTAACAGCTCACTTGGGGCATTGTATCTGCAAGATGCATAATGCAAATTAATGCAATTTTTTTATTTTTACAGATATTTATATGCTTGACTATGATTATATCTTCAATTTCTACATTTTCTCTACGATCTAACAGTATAAAATACTTGTGGGTTTAAAAAAAAATGGGATTTTTATTAATATTTTCTGTAATTTGATCTGTAAATGCAAAAAACTAACTAATTTCAACTCACTATAAATCATTTCAACTTTCACTTATTGACATCAGATTTGTTAAATTTCATAGGATTATATCATCTTTTAACTTCAGTCTAGTAAAGCTTTGTTTATTGTCTTCCACTAAAGTAATAGACTATGCCAGTCCCCCCACTGTGAAAGGCAACAAACTGCTAATAATTTTATTATTTTGTTTTCAAAAACTCCCTTCTCTGTCAGTAGTGAATCAAATAAATAACAAATTGTTTTCTTGCACTCAGGGAAATGTTTTCTTTTAGATTTAACCACTAGTATTACCAGTAATAAATTCTATAATTTTATTTTTAATAATTTAAAAAATATTAATTAGCAAATAAATGTTTGGGTCACAATTTCTAAATGGTATTGCTACATAATGAATATAAATTTTAATTGTTGCAAAATTGAAAGTATTAAATTTCTTATCATGCTCTGATTTCCAGAAAGCAGACTGATAACACCAAAGTGAAAAAATCTTGTTGTCAGAAATAACTGCAATGACTTATTTGAAATAAATTGGGATTGGTTTGATCATTGAAACCAGGAGAAAAAGATAGAATGTGTAGCATTGTGGTAAAGTTTAAATATTCTATATTGTTATTTTATCGAATCACAATTGTTATGTGAAACAATCGAGAGTACAGTACTCTCACACTGCAAGAGAATTTACTGCAGGTAGTAGCAAGGTATTGCTTTTCATAAAATTTCTCTGAAAAAAAGGTCATAAACTTGAAAACCACTGTAGGAATTACTTCAGAACATCAGTTGAAGAAATGTAACATTAAGCATGAGGAATATAGAGTATCGTATTTTCCATGCACCTTTAGCAATCCACTATCCAATCATGTATCTATGTTATGTTGACGATATATAAAATTATTTTTTGACAAGATCACATAACACCTCATTTTTGCCAAGGAAACAGTTTTTAATCACAAATGTTTTCAGCTTGTTCAACAAACCATCCTCAAGTGTTGAATTACATTCTATCATTAGAATATAATTCAACACTTGAGGATGGTTTGTTAAACAAGCTGAAAACATTTGTGATTAAAAACTGTTTTATTGGCAAAAATAAAGTGGTGTATGTGATTTTAAGTTACTGCTGAGGATGTGTTTTTTAAGTAATTTCATATATTTAATTTTTATTGTAAAATATATGTAGAATGTAACACATTTGTTAAGCATTCAAACAAGATGACATCAAAAGAATATATTCGTAAAAAACGTTCTAGATTTAGAATCCTGCTAACATTCTGTAATGATCAATGCATGCTTGATGCAGGCCCCTGAAAGAGGCTGAAAATGTTCCGTTTTTTATTTGATTCCAATACATATTATTTGCCGAAAGACTGTATATATGGTGTTTAATTTTAATTTATGTACATTCTAGCATTTGGAGACATATGTTCCATCTCTCACCATCTGACCCATACGGATCTGAAAGAATCTGTGATGGATATATAAAAAAAAATATGTTTGAAAGTAATTTTTTGTATTTTATTTGTATCTGATATAAATACTTGGATTAAAAGTTGACATTTAAATTACTTTAAAAATAATTGTAAATTTAAAAATGATTATGAAGTTTAATATTTTTAAAATAGAAAAAACTACTTACATATTATTTAACCTGATAATGTCAAATTATTTTATTAAATAAGTATTTTCTATTAATAAGCAATAAAATAAGTAATATAAACCTTTCTTTTTATAAACTTTCATGTTTGCTTTAAAATAAAGTGAAATAATTATATGAAAAAACTTTTTCCCAACACTTAATAAAAATCTGGAAGGATACGATCATATCTTTCCCCTGATTCACTTCCTTTCAGAGGTGACACAGCTTCCTAGTGTGTCACCCGGAATCTATGACAAAAATTCAACCATTGGACGATTGTAGAAAAACTCCTAATAAGGCCATGGGAAAAACCCAGGACAGACCCCTAATAAAAAAGAGGGGGTTGATGAGTCAGACAGAGTCATCCAGTTATTATTAACTATGTGTATGTGACCAGCCGCTCGCCATTCGTCGCCGCCATCACTGTTCCTAGCAGTCGCCATTCCGAAGGAATCACTGCCGCTCCAGAAGAAATGACTCTCCATGTGTGAAAGTTCCAAATAGAATTCTATGAATTCTAAAGTATTTATCCTTTATGCTTAATGTGCACTCTCACTCTCGTTGTCAGGGTTGTACTAGTTACACTATATGTCATATTATTAGCATTCGCTAAGCATCTGTATACAGCTTGTAAATAGTCAATATCGATTAATAAATGGGTATTTTTGTTATATGATAACTTGTGGAGTGTACTTCTGGTTCTCTCCTTCCGCCTCCATTCCGGGGCCAAAAGTCCGCGAATGTGACCACTCATGCAAAAATGTGTTGTAACGGCTGTTGAAGTTCCATGTCTGGAGGATGCAGTGGTATCATCCTGACAAGGTGCCAAAGAGGTGCCGATCCTGCGGTCACACATATCAAGCATATTATGTATGCTTTTTAAGTTTTGTAAAAAATTTAATGCTATATAAACAGTAAAAAATACTCTTACTGTATGGGGAAGATGCTCCTAAATGTCAGACATGTCAAATGTTGTTTTAAAAGTTTTGTTTGGGAAATTTTGAACTAAAGGTTACAAAAATGTATTGAGCTCCTGAAAGCTGTTGACAAAGAGAAATTTCAAGAAAAAATTGTTAAAAATTGATTAATAACAAATTAATTTGCAACAAATCTTAGTGTGTCATCGACTTGACGGTTGTGTTCCACATGCATAAATTAAAAAAAAAAAAACAAAACAAAAACAAAAACAAACTGGATTGAGTATAATTTTGTCTGATGAAGGTAGGCAGCTCTAAGATTTCATTTTATTTTTAAATTAGTTATACATTTTTATCATAGAAAACTGTTCTTATGGATAAAAATAATTGTTGTTAACAGTTAACAACAATTATTTTATCCATAAGAACAGTTATTATAATTAATAACAACAGCTAACAAAATAAAGATTTTTGTTGTTAACTGAAAATTTATTTTATTGGGTCTTGATTGTTTGGATGAGTACCACTGTATTTGATCAACATGATTTTGATATACACAGTAGTATCAAGAGATTAACGGATAAATTAATCATATTAATCAGGAGATACCTGTATTGGCAGTTTAAAAATTTATTTTTCATAAAATTATTTTAACATAACACAAAAATAAATATTGTGTTTAATAAATTAACAATTTAATATTACCATACTTACAGGAAATGGATCAGGGCCTTCCAATATAACATATCCATCAATCACATGTGTTAAAATGTGAGGTTTAACTATCGCTTTTTGTGGTTGTTTTTCTTTAGAAATGACATCAGAATGAGGAATGGCAACAGTGTCTTCTTCTTTTCTTGGCTTTTCTAATGGTTCTGGTTCAACTGTGGCTACATCTTTTAATGATGGACTAACATCAACTACAGGAACAGGGTCAACTTCCATATTTGTCTCTGGTACATTATTATTAGTTATTACAGGGGTTTCAGGAAAAGATTTTACATCTGTATTTGTGGGTTTTGGCAAAACATTAACTGCTGATATAGGTGAGATATGTTGCTTTGCTAACACAACCTGTTGTCCAGTTTCTGTAGCTACTGACTTACTTTGAGTTGCAGTACTTTTCATTTCTGGAGTTGGTTTTGTTTGATTAGCAGCATCAGCTTTTTGATGTTGAAGTGGAGGTGTTTGTGTTTGTATTGTAACTGTTTGTGGAGGAGGCAGCTGCAAACCAGCAGGAGAGCTTCTGTTATTCTGACCACGTGAACGTTGTTTTGCCTGATTAAAGAATGTTTTAAGTTTAAAAATCAATAATCATATATAAATAATTTAAAAGATTATTATTCTTATTCTTTAAGTTTTATAATACATTTATCTTATTGTTTAGTAAATTGAGATTTAATAAATTTTAATAGATTAGAATTAATTGATATATTGTATAGTAATTATTTTTAAAATTAAATATAAATTATTGTATTTAATATATTTAAAATATTTTATAAATAAATATTTCTTAATGGTAAATTATTTGAGAAATTTATGTGTGTGTGTGTGTGCAATGTTTAATATAAGAAATTAAGTTTATATGGGAATTGAAGCGAATAAGCTCATTAATATATTGATATGGTGTTACAGAACAATAATTGTATGACGTTTAAATGCTATCAAGACTTGATTTAAGCTAAACTATAACATATAGCAAGCCCTTCTCTTCTATCAAATAATAATAATGGTAGTTATATATATATATATAAGGCCCTAAGCTATGGTTTATAACGTGAGACCCTAAACTGCAGTTTGTTTACCTTACGTGCAAATTTTGCCCTGAATGACTATGTATTATAACAATGGATAATATGCATAATTATCGAAAATACAGATGTGAATAAATATTTTAGGGATATTCGGAAACTATAGACAATAACTAAGTGTAATATTGTTTAATTTTTATATTAATTTATAGTATTTGATAATTTACACTAATTGAATCACTGATGTGATCACATTTTTTTCATTNGAAATGATAGTGTAAGTTAAAGAAAAAAATGTTACTCTCAAGATGTTTTTGTTAAAATATAACTGGTTTAGATGGGGATATGAAAAAACAATTATGTTTAAAAAAAATAAAAAATGATGGAGCAGTTTTCTATCATCCAAAGCTTTAAGAACAAATACAATAAATACACTGTGTCCAAAAATAAATAAATAAATATGTCTTGAAGAGTTTGAAGTCTCTGTTATTTACAATTTCCAACAATATCACACATTATAATTGACAAAATATTATCTGTTCATCTAAAAACCTTTAAACTTTAAATTATATTTTAAAAAGCAATAATAATAATAATAGAATATCAAAAAACAATACGTAACTATTGATCTAACCTGGGTACGATTTGGAGGTGCTCGAGACTGAGCAGCAGCAGCTGTTGAAACTGCTGTCTGAGTGGCCACTGAACTTGCAGGACGAACCTAATTTAGATTTTTAAACAAAACTAAACATTTAAAAATTCTTATTAATTATATGTTATTACAGAGCTAAGATATACATGAACTAAAAATCATATACATTATAAGTTATCACGCATATAAGTCATTTAAAAATTATAACTTATACACTCCTCAAAAGTGAAATCTCAACACCATGAAGGAATGTGCGTAACTTCATGCAAACTGCAGGACCAATAGAGATGACAGAGATAAGCAAATAGTTAAGTTTGCATACATATTGGATCATGTGATATCTAGTTTTTGGTTATAATGATCAGCAGCTTACTCGGACCATAAATGCTATCAGTGATGATTTGCAGCAGCCAAACTTTGGAAGAAGTGTAGATAATGGCTTGGAGACAACAGCAAGCTGAATACCACCAGTTAATGGCTAGGGAATGAGACCATATCCTGGAACTGCATAACCTTAGTTTGTCAAATACTTTCAGTTACCATGCATGTTGAGAATGATGTGAATACCATCTAGCAATGTGTAACATAATAGATGCAGGAACATCTGAAAATACACCAAATAGGAAGTGGATTGCACCAGTACACAGTGCACAGACCGGTAAATTTGTCATCTGAAGCTACCTGTTGTCATCAACAGGTGCATCTGTGTCCACCTAAATCTTTTGCAACAGGTTGCATGAAATTGGATTAAACACAAGGCAACCAACAACAGAGATGCCATTAACTGCTCAATACAGGCTGCATGCCTGGCATGTGTTGTCGTCATTGCAACTGGACCAATGAATGGCATTGTGTATTGTTTACAGATGAATCCTGCTTCTGTCTTTGGAGGAATGACGGCCATGGACAAGTGTAACATATCCTGGGGAATGCTATGTGCCAGCCCTTTTCACTAAGTATCACACTAGCCTAACACTGGGCATTGTTTTCAATCTGCAGACAGCCCTGGTTTACATTTCTGGTACTCTACAGCAGACCAACATGTCACATAAATTGTGGGGCATGTGGTTAAGCTATTGGTGCAGGCAGCACCTGACAGTGATCCTGCAAGATAATGCCTGATTGTATGTTGCATAGTGAACTCTGACCAAAGGATGTCTGAATGGAATTCACATCCTTTCCTGGTTGGCAGATTCATTTGATCTCTCTCCCATCAAACACCTGTGGGGCCTCATCCAATGTGAGGAGCACTGGAAACATCAAGCCACAGTGAATGCAGCATGGCAAGGATACCTCAGGCTACCATTAATCACCTCATTGATAGTATGCCTCACTATATAGTGGCCTGCATAGCTGCTCATCAGGGCCATATTTGCTACTGAACAAATAAGTGTCTGTTGCATATTTTGTTTCTTCTTTTAACCATTTCCATATCTGTCACATTTACCAGTCCTGCAATGTGCAATGTCTATGCACATTCCTTCATGGTGTTGTGTTTTCACTTTTGAGGAGAGTATGATTTTTATAACCATTTATATGATTTATTTTAGTACTTAGATGTCCTAGCTCCAGAACTTATAAATACCTTGTAATAATGTATACATTTCTTTATTTGCCTAAATTCTTACACAATCAAAATTTATCCAATTTTTTGCAACAAAAAAACCTCTTTATAAATATATCAAAAACATCATTGCTAAAAATATGAAGTTGCTACCGTACAAAAAATATTATTTCTCAAAGAATACCTACTATTTGAAGAAGAGTAGCTAATACTTAAAGAATTAAAAAAAAAACTTTATACTCCTTGGATATTAGCAAAAAGGAAAGGAATAAATCAGTTTTATGCCAAAGTTTTCTTGGGAGTCCAAGGAGCATTTCTTATCAGTAGATTCATGGAATCATTTCTCTCATGCCTTGAATAATATAACCATTAAAACTGATGATATTCTAATATTAGTTCAAACACCAAAAAGCCCAAACAGGAAAAGTTTAATTATGGCCACATGTTACAAAAATACCAAAATTTGTTTCTTTTTTCAGAAAATAAGGTGAAATGATAGTGTAAGTTAAAGAAAAAAATGTTACTCTCAAGATGTTTTTGTTAAAATATAACTGGTTTAGATGGGGATATGAAAAAACAATTATGTTTAAAAAAAATAAAAAATGATGGAGCAGTTTTCTATCATCCAAAGCTTTAAGAACAAATACAATAAATACACTGTGTCCAAAAATAAATAAATAAATATGTCTTGAAGAGTTTGAAGTCTCTGTTATTTACAATTTCCAACAATATCACACATTATAATTGACAAAATATTATCTGTTCACATTAATGCAAACAGTATGATAACTAAAACAGAATTTAGAGTAGACAATCTTTAAGATTTTATAAAAAGATTATAAATAAAAATAATTTTGGGACTGTAGATCTATATCTTAACATTACTAACAAACAAATAAAACTGCTTGACATTTCTGAAGAAACTTTAGTTTTTTCTTTTCTTAAGTTTAGATATACATAAAAATAAAAATTGTCACAAAATTCTTTATTAGTTTTCTTATATATCATGATTATATGTAACTGAATAAAGCCTATTTAAATCATAATATCTAGAAGTGTAATATACAGGGTGCATTTTTTTTATCTTGAGACAATGAAATAACTTAATTGGATCTCATTATTTTGGAAAAAGGTATAGACAAAAGTTGTAGGGTATCGAGGAGCCAATCAATTGGTGACCTCATATGTGACCTTGACCTTCAAGGTCATTTGGAGGTCAAGTCTGTTTTTTCAATGGGAACACATATTTTTGACACCGGAAATGGAAAGAGCAGGAAATTTCATAACTGGATGTACCTTTGGCCTTATTGTCTAGGTCAAAGGTCAAGATTATTTTAAGGCTAAAATTATAAGGTTTTTCTAATGGGAAACGATACTTTTTATTACTGGAATAGGCAGGGAGGTAAAAGTTACATTTTTTCATGACCTTATTACTTTGAACTTTAAAAGCATTCACTACTTTTAGCACTACCAAGGAGTAATGATGTGGATGTAGTAGTTTTCTGCTCCCTTTGAGGTGCTTATTTTCAGTGAATATCCTTGCCTATCTCACTATCGTGGTGCTTGTTTTCGATGAGTCACTTTAATTCTTACCATTGTTTGAGATGTTGGTTTTGGGGGAAAATTTTATAACAAATGTTCAAAATTATACCCTTCCACTTTAATGCATTTATTGAGCCACGCTTACAATTATCACACTTGAGATGACCTTCAGAAGTCAAATTTGTGATACTCAAGGTCATGGCTGATTGTGAAATTTCCCATTGTTTCCATGTAAATGTAACTTTTACCTCCCTGCCTATTGCAGTAATAAAAAGTATGGTTTCCCATTAGAAAAAGCTTATAATTTTAACCTTAAAATAATCTTGACCTTTGACCTAGACAATAAGGTCAAAAATGTGTATTCCCATTGAAAAAAAACACACTTGACNTCGTCCTGATTGGAAAAATTTTTCCGAAATATCCCGCTTTCTATTAAAAAAATAATTCAATTTGTATTTTTTAAAAAGTCAAATAAAAATTGTTGGCATTAAGTGTTGTGCATGTATTCGCACAATCTTACATGAGTACGCCTTTACTAATCTTTGGCGTACGCGTCACGTTCTGTGGTCCTGTACTATGGTTTCGTGCAATCATTGACGACAGATCTATCAACGATTATATCTGCCCCTCATAGTCTAGCTTTATTTTTTATTTTTTGGTTCTCTTCGCCCTTTGGACGCTAAGGGGACCTTCACATTTAATCATGACCATTATGGATTTGACAGATCCACGATTGGGTAACCGGGTTTTCTAACAAAAACTTAATTAAAATATATAACATAATAACAAAAAATAAGCAATATTCTTTAATTGATAATTCAGTAAAATTAATTTGATGATATCCATCAATTTTTATCACAATGTCCCGATTTCTGGTTTTGAACTTCTGGCAACACTATTTGGAATAAAAAAGTAATTACAATAATAATAATAATTTGTTATAAAATATTATTATTATTTTATTTAAAAACGATAATTATATTTATGCCGTTTGATAGCTAGTATTTACACATTTAAAAGTACAGTATAAAGATAAAAAAATTCGTTACCATAGTAACGAATTTAAAAATGGCGGCCGTATCGGTTAAATTTTGTTTACTAAATCATTCGGCAAACAAATTATTATTAATTTTAAAATATTTCAGAACCTTTCAAAATGAAATTAATAATAGGCGTTTGTCCGAGAACACAAAGCATAGGAAAAGGATATAAAGTTTTTAATGAAATATTTTCTTTGTATACGCAGAAACATTTTCGTTGTTCTCTGATTAATTGATAAAATTCATATTAATTCGCTGCAGTCGGTAACAGCTGTTAATAAATTGAGGCGACATCTGTTTTCTCGTAAGGTTCCCAATTACAAATTAGCTTCTGCTAAGGAAGAGCGAGTCAACCTTTCGCTAATGAGTTAAGTTGACCGCTAAGTTTCACAAAAGTGTTTTTTCGAACAAATTACTGTCCGCTAATATATATCTATACACTATATATTTATTTTTTTAAGGTAAGAAAAATATTTTAGATTCTTGAGAATTAAGAAAAATTCAAATTTCTAAGAAGCGCTTCTTTTGTATCAAAGTTGTCGCAGAACAATCCGCATCGAATCGACCAAAATTTAAAAATAATACCGGGACGTCATTTTGTCACCAAATGCTTCCTCTTAATATCTACTTTATATTCTGGCAAGACAGAGATTAATAATTCGACTAGAGGTAGCGATTCCAAGTGACGTCATTCCGACTGGTGCTGTTGCAATGAGATAGGCAGCATTTCATTTTCCGGCTCACTCGCACCAATGACGTCACTGACATACCAATTGCACGTGCACGCTTGGTTGATTATTTTTGCTATAGTAACCGTTACTGTACTTCTTCTCTACATTTTTTACGTTTGAAAAATGTACACGTTTGCCAATTCGGACGACGACGTAAAATTTTAACTATTTTACAGCAGCTGTCGGATTTTGGCAGTGCGCAGTACTGAATTCGGAGAGGGAATATAAAACCATCCGCAGAAAATAATTAATAATGTCTGTTGTGCACATAGTTTTAATAATCAGCAACTTGTATATAATTTTTTAAATAACATTTAATTAAATTTCGATTTTAAAAAAAATCTAACTAAAACTGGAAGATATAAAACATACCTCACCCTTGAGGCATGCGGCTTTCCTCCGGGAAAACTGGATTCAATATTGACTATCGTTATGCAATACCTTAACGATTGTACTTATATTTTTCTTCTACTTTTTCCCATACATCTTCTGTTTATAATTGCATTTCATTATAACGGATATTTAAAAAACTTATCTACCTTGCAGAAAAAATAAAATAAAATAAATCTTTATTCTTACTTGTTTTTGTTTCTGTAAATAGGGTGTTGTAGGAATTACAGTCATGTGACTAGAGGGAGTTGTTGATGCCATTGGAACTGCATAAGCAGTTGCTGGTGAAGGACTCTGGATAAACATATCAGGCTGTTGACTACGAATAAAAATAGGATTTTGTGTAAGTAACGTTGGAGATTGTAAGCCACCATGTGTCGCCCATGTAATTCCTTGAGGAAGAGATGCTCCTAATGCTTGTAGTGAACCTATAAATTTTAAAATTATTTTATTTAATTACAGAAAATCAATATTGTTCCTCAATTTTCAAAAAAAATTTTAATATTGGGTTGTAACACACAAGTTCATAACATTTTTGTAGAATGTGAATTTTTGCCAACAATAAGGGGCCCCAGGCCAATTTCACTTTGTCAATTTAATGCAAGATTAATTCAATGCATTATAAAAAATATAAGAATTGTGTGAGATTTTGACTTTTTTTCATTTCCACTTTTGTTTTGATTGGCATCTGGCAGATTTTAATTGATTATTTAAAGTAATAAAACATTTATAATCTTCTATCAGAGCAGAGGACAACAGAAAGGTCAAGCAGTGGGATGATGACAAAGTGGAAAAAACCCACTTCCTTTTTTTCTCTCTCCCTCTCGCAATACTCTCTAATAGATAAAACCAATCAAATATCCCTCCGAATAACAACAATCATTATGATGTTTGGACTTATGTTAAAACCTTAGTCAAAATGTTTGATTATTAATGATAGGAAACTGTAAAACGGATGAAATTATTAGGTAAGAAAAGTCATAATAACAGCTAAAAAGTATCAATAATTCAGCCAAATTGTCCAGTTCTTGACAGCTTGTATCAACCGAACCTGGGCACAGCTTGAACTTAGACCATATTAAATCAAAGTCACCTGAGTCAATTCTCACATGCAATGCATATAAAAAGAGCTCGCACCCAATCATCAGGGTGATTGCTGAAGACCAACCCACTGCTGGACCTCATACTCATCATCTCCACACAAAGATCAACTGACCTTCCTGAAGACATCGTCATTAGAGAAACACTGAATGAGGTATTATGTTTACCCCTTTCATGTAAACTCTCTCTCTCTCTCTCAGCTGACTTAAAATGTAAATTAGATTTAGCCTTTTAAGAAATAGCTATCCACTAGAGCTAACCATGTCGGGGCTAGGTTAACTGAAACCAATGTTAACACGGTTTCTTTAGAATGTTTCGCCTGTTGTAATAATTTTTTTTTTTTGTTTATATTAAATGTGTTAAGTTTATCTAAATGGTTGTAGTAACTTGTGTATCGAAGTTTATCTAAATGGTTGTAGTAACTTGTGTATCGTTGACACCTCATCTACAACCTTGCTAACCCTCCCACTCAAATCCAGCAGCAGAAGAAAAGAAAACACTATCCACTGATCCCGTGAGTGAGACTTACTGTCCTGACATCGGAGAACAAGTTAAGCTTTGCACCTTAAACCCCCCCACTTCTCACAATTGACTTTATTTTTTTGGTTAGATGAATATTTTTGCAAAATTATTTTCTTTACCAAGGATTCATACATAATTTATATAATTTTTAAGTTTTTAATAATTATTTGTTTACATTAGAAATGAATTTAATAAATTAAAAAAATTTAATTATATTATAAAAGATACTTTTGTGCTAGAATCTGAAACATTTGCTGGGTATAATTAGTATTCAATATATTATGTAGTGAATGTAGTTATTGTAATGACTCCTGGTAATGCAAAGCTCAATCTGTAATATTAAAAATGGTGACATTATGTCCTTAAAAAAGCTGATAATTGCACAAAAAAAGCTGACAGCAAAATTTTAATCAAAATGTGATGGTTTTGACAATTTTGTTTGAAATCTTTAGCACAAAGCATACAGAAATGTTATATCATATTTAAACATTCATTTTATTTTATCAGTTTTGATTGATCAGTTTATCAGTTTTGATTGATTCTGGCCTTATCATTTAATTATTAAACATTATACACAAAATTAATGTATAATTTTAATACATGTTTTATGTATAGACTACTGCTGTGCACTCATTGCATAGTGAGTGTTTGTAATGTTCTTATTTCAAAAAGCCAATAATCAAATTATCAAAAATTCAGAAACTTTAATGAAATTACATGGATAGTTTATGGTAATATAGTTAGTAAAATTATCTAAGACATAAAAAAAATTTTTCTAAATTCAATTATTTGAATCCATCAATTTTAAACCCAAATGCTAAATTGAACTTTAATACTTTCTAAAAGTCTAATTTGAAATCCTAATTAATTCTTAAACTTTACAGAAACAAAAATATCAAAACTGGCTACATAACAGCTTTTGTAAGGAATATGATATAATTATTAATAATTTTCTATTCTAGAAAATCATTAATAATTAGCTATGCTGTTTAAAAATCTGAATATATAACACCATTAAAATATTCATTAATTTTCATAAAATCTTATAAATTTTCCTATACAAATACTGCTATTTAAGAATTAACATAATTAATATTAAATATTTATAAGATATAATAATTATAATTCATCAACATAATTAATTATATTATAACATGATTAATATTAAATAATTAACATAATTATTATTATAAATACCTAATATTTGAGCTTGGCTTGCTATCATAGCAGTTGGCGCTTGACTTGCAATCAGTTGTGGAGATGATGTCAATTGTTTCAATTGTGTATTTGTCAAAACCTGAGCTGTAGCATTTGAAGATGAAACAGGACAAGGTAAAATTGGTGACTTAGGCTGTAAAGCAGCTGGTTGACCCATCATCTGTTTAAAGTTAAAAATTTTATTAGTTACAAAAATATTAAAACACTAATATCAATAACAAAATTTAATCACCAAATTATCATTTATAGTTAATATTTTCCATAGATATAAATATTATAAAGTGAATTTATAAATGTTAATAAATTTTATTAAAAATATAATTGTAGAATATGAAAATAACTTTCATTTAAATAACTAAATTTTCAAATAAAATTAAGGCTTATTAAAAGTATCAAAAATTCATTTTATTAATCTTTTCGATCTACTTCAATAAATCAAACAAAGATTTAACATGCAAGAAAAATTTAAATTATTATGCAAAATGAGAATATAAAGCATTTTCTAATGTTATCAAACAAATTAAATATAAAAACAAAAAAAAAATTTGAGTGTTTCTGTTATATTTATAATATTGATTCAAATTCTTCATGGATAAAAAAATTGTTTAATTCTGTTTTATTTTTATCTTTCACTGTATTCTGTATTATAAAATAAATACAAATTTTTAAACAAATGCTTTGAAATAGAAAATCGTAAATGCCTATATAATACTGTTTGGTCTGCTCAAAATGATTTCCATACATATATAAAGAACATCTGAAATCCGAATTAATCAATTGGAAATTAGATTTATAATTCAAAATTGTTTCCTTATATTATTAAAAACAAATAATATGTTTTGAATTAATCATAAAAGTATTACAAATTAATAAAATTGAGTTTATAGAATTTGACTAAAGATAATCAAATAATATAACTGGATTATTTCATTATTTCTATAAATTGAGACTTGATTTTCTATGTGGCAACAACTAAAGTCTTCAGAAATAGAGTACCACTAGATTCTTCAATACCATCTGTTTTAACATAATGTCTACAACAATTTCATGTAAATAATCTGGAGAGTAACATACAACTGCACCAGAATATACACTATAGAAAATTGCTAAAACAGAAATAAAATATGTACATAACCCAAACTACTGTGTACACCATACCTCAGGAATGTGGCCACTGGCTGTGTTCAGCAGAGTATTTTTCTACTGAATGCTTCTGTAGTAATGGTACTTCCAAACATATTGAGTGTTTTGACATCATGTTTAATATTGGAATTCATTTATGGTACCTTCAAGTACCTATAACATTGATCAAATATGGCTATGCCCATATAGTAAGTGAAGTATATATTGAACGCATGTATTATTGTATTAAATCACTCAAAAAACATTTATTAGAAACTAAAAACAGATACAGTGAAACCCCAGTTAACGAACGTCCTGGTTAACGAACTTTTATTTTGAAAAAATTTTGTCTCGGATAACGAACGTAATGGTATTCTGTGTCAAATTTTAGTTGGTGTTAGGCATGCGCGAGTTAAGCATTGCTTTTCTGAGTGTTTGTGCTATACTTCTTTTTTCAGTTTTGTGATTTATATATTCAATCAATATGGCATCCAAGAAAGAAAAGTCATAGTGGCAATAGAAAATGACATTGCAATATAAACGACAATGCACTATCGCATTTGAGAAAAATTTTGATTAAAAGAGTAAGACAATCAACTTTAGATCAATTTCTTGTTCCTTACGGAAAAAGTTTGTTTGTTTGTTAAGTTATGGCAACGTAACACTTGGGCAATCTGCCTAGGGGGAATGCCTTCTGGGAGGTGTTTTTAGGGGAAACTGGCCCCTATTTAGGCGTTACAGATGTGGAGAAAACCTGGAAAACTCCACGTGGCCAGCCCATCTGAGTGAGGTGCGAACCCATGAACGAACTCCCCATGTTCAATGTACGAAGACCACTTAGNGAACGTAATGGTATTCTGTGTCAAATTTTAGTTGGTGTTAGGCATGCGCGAGTTAAGCATTGCTTTTCTGAGTGTTTGTGCTATACTTCTTTTTTCAGTTTTGTGATTTATATATTCAATCAATATGGCATCCAAGAAAGAAAAGTCATAGTGGCAATAGAAAATGACATTGCAATATAAACGACAATGCACTATCGCATTTGAGAAAAATTTTGATTAAAAGAGTAAGACAATCAACTTTAGATCAATTTCTTGTTCCTTACGGAAAAAGTTTGTTTGTTTGTTAAGTTATGGCAACGTAACACTTGGGCAATCTGCCTAGGGGGAATGCCTTCTGGGAGGTGTTTTTAGGGGAAACTGGCCCCTATTTAGGCGTTACAGATGTGGAGAAAACCTGGAAAACTCCACGTGGCCAGACCATCTGAGTGAGGTGCGAACCCATGAACAAACTCCCCATGTTCAATGTACGAAGACCACTTAGCCACTGGTGGGCTTTTTTTACCGAAAGAGACTACGACTCGAAGAATCTTCCGATGAAGTGCTACACATTATTTTTTTGGAGGGATTCCCCTTCTAAGCATTAAGGTTCGTATATCTCCACTTTTCTGCCACCAACTACAACAAACAAAGGTATGTAGAGAGCTATTTTATTAAACAAAGTTTACATGTTTGTTGCTATAATGATAGATACTACGTTTTCCTACATTTTAATCAAAGAAAATTACTATATATTACAAATAAAATCACAAAAATTTCAGAGACTAGAATGGATTAATTGCATTTGCATTAATTTCTATGGGAAAAATTGCTTCAGTTAACAAACGGAGTTGCAGAACAGATTAAGTTCGTTAACCGGGGTTCCACTGTATATACAAAATAAAACTTAGACACTTAAAAGTTCAAACTTCACATGCAGTGAAAAAATGCACAAGAAAAATAAATGCAATCCATTGTCACCCAAGTCATCTCTTACTCTTCCATTATAGTTAAATGTTTTCAATGTTTTTTTTTCATTTTATTTTTTGTGTTTCACTTTATCTAATGTTAGCAATAAAATATTACGTTTTACAATTGTTATAATTAAAATCATACATCTAGGTTAAGTAAGGACAACTGTTGAAAAATACATAAAAACTTTCTGTTCAACCCAATATAAACTTTACTTATTAAAGTCTAAGAAGAAGGTTGTAATATTGACTATTGAGATGAAAAAGGAATTTATCATAAAGCATGAAAGTGGTATGTATGTGACAGATCCAGAGACCATATTTAAGATGTTAAAGTCAACCAGTAAATGGAATTTATTTTATTATACAGTATTTGCATATTTCATTTATTGTTTTCATATTTTAATTTATTATTAAAGCATTTAATTGTGTTATTTTTTTTTCCTTAAATTATGTGTATTTGCAATTTTAAATTTATAAAAATGGATATTAAGATCTGGGAATGAATTAATTCACTTTCTATTATTTCTAATGGAAAAACTTGATTCAGACTTTGAATAATTCAGTTTGAACAGTCTCCTGGAATGAATTAAATTCAAAGTACAAGGCAATACTATAAATTAAATTCACTTTGAAAGTTTGTAGAAACAAGTAGAAGCTATTGTAAAATTATTATTCATTATGAATCTGCTGAACAATGAATTACAAGTTGGTACTCATAATTCATTGTTCAGCAGATTCATATCAGTTACTGCTACCATATCAGTTAATGCTCAATTAGAAGTATTGAGTCTGCTGAATACAGCCATTGATTTAAGGACTATGGATAAAACTCATACAGAATAGTTCATATATAAACCAATACATTCTAAATTTTTATCTCTCAATTTTGTAATTAAAAATTTATATACAGTATGTCCCAAATTAAACTTGACATTTCCAACCATCTACAGCAAAAACTATTCATCAGAAAGTCATGAAAGTTTGGGAATGCCTTAATGAGTTGGGAATTTTTTTCTAGAGCAAAAAAAAATACTTCCAAAAACCACCATTAGATGGTGCTTCTCAAGCTGAAATAGAATATTTGCCTACAAAATCCCCAGACTTGAATCCATGAGATTATTGGCTCTGGGGCTATCTCAAAGACTTGGTCTACCATGATCTCACAACATTGCTGTCAAACTTTAAAGACAACATAGCACACCATGTGCATAACATTCCAAGGCAATACACTGCATGCAACTGTTTAACATGCTGTTTTATGCTTTCTGATGGTAGCATTAGGGTTTCTCATTTCCCGGTCTTTTGCTTGTCCTGGGATTCCAAAGAAATCCAGAGATATAATTAATTATTTTTAAGATATAAAATAAATCTTAAAAATCAAATAATATAATTATTTTTCATTTTTAAGTAACTTAATACATCCCGCAACCTCCAAAATAGTAATAATAATAATAATAATAATAATAGTGTAAAATACGTCCGTGGAATGTTATTTAATTTGATGATAATTCGATTATCTGTTCATCTATTAATATTTAATAATAGTAGTGTTTCTAATGGAACGGAGAGATAATAACCTGTAAGTCATTTCACCAACAAGATTTTTTTCGATTGCTTAAGAGCAAAAAAGGATTTTAAAACTTATTAAATATAAAATTTAAATAAAGTCACTATTGTTTCTTAATTTTTAGATGATAATTTTAAAATATCAATTTTTTTTTTCATTAATAAATATGAAATGTTCGCCGAAGGTTATTATATTTTAATCAGTTAAGTAGCTCTTATCTAGCAAAAATCGCCAAATCGCAGGGTCGTTCTTTGAAATTTACGAGAGAATTGATAAACTTCATGGTCAATTTTAACAAGTAAAATTAATGAATTCATCTATCATTTAAGAATATTTTAATAATTGCACTCGTCTAATATATTCTTCTATTTAACATTATCCGGTATACTATTATTCTATAGTTCAGATAAACTAATGCATTCTAAAATACTGAATAGACTTAAGCCTACTAGTTATTTGAAACTAATTAGAACGTTTAAGCTTTACTGAAAATATTTTAAATTTAAATTGTTACTGAAAATTCCTGAATTTTTTAAAATATCTTTTTATTGGCTCAATCCTCGATGGCTATTTTGATAAACACATTTTGTAAATTATTTCCTACGTGTTAGACAATCGTTAGAANAAATGGAATTTATTTTATTATACAGTATTTGCATATTTCATTTATTGTTTTCAT